CACAGCGACCTCATTCGCCATCGGATTGGCTTCCCTCGAATTCAGATGACCGTTCACTGCAGTTATCTGAATCGGGGTCATCCTCGACAACCTCCGCGCGAGCCTTGCGCTGGCGATTTTTTTTTTTTTTTTTTTCCACCGGGCTCAGCGGTTTTCAGCTTGCGGGGCCTGCCACGAGCACGCTTAGGCTTCGCAACAGCATCTTCCACCGGTTCCTTCCTCTTCCTCCCCCCCCTACTCACCCACAGGTTGTCATGTTGGACAGCCTCATTGCTCGGAGGGAAGTCGGGTGCGTTCTCGACAAACTGTTCGGACACAACCGGTCGTTGCCTACGCTTGTACAGAGCCTTCACTGCAGGCTGGTGCTCCTCTTCACCGTCCTTGTCATCCGCGTTGCGCTGCGTGTCCTGTTGATCCATGCCCTCCGCGTCTTCTTGTTGTTCCATGGCCTTCTCCACTCCTTGACTTTCCATCCCCTCCTTGTCCTCTTCATGCTCCATCTCCTCGTCCTCCTTTCCGTGCTCCTTCTCCGTCTCTTGTAGGTGGTCCATGTCGTCGTTGTCCTCTTGCTGGTCCTTCTCCTCCGCCTCTTTGCGGTGCTCCGCCTCTTGCTGGTCCGCCTCTTTGCGGTGCTCCGCCTCTTGCTGGTCCGCCACCTTCAAAACCGGTCCACTTTGCGGTTGCACTTCCTCATCTCCCTCTTGCACAGCGTCCAATGCCCGACGTGTCTCCGGTTCCTTCTCCCCAACCTTCTTCTTGCGTCTCTCCATCTCCCTCCGGGTTGGGACTGCTTTGCGTCGGGCATCCTCTTCCATGATCTGTTTTTGGACGGCGTCTCTATCGCGATCTGCCAATGCCTTCGCACGGTCGGCCTCCGCCTCGTCTTCATCAACCGGACCACTTTGCAGCAGCAACTCGACGTCRGTGTCCATGTGATCGARCTCGACGTCGGAYTGAGGATGGTAATGGGAGGAGCTTTCCACCCGGGCGTGTGTAGAGACCGYGGGCTGCTTCTCCCTCCGACGCTCTGCAGGTTCTCTCCTACCAACATAAGTAGTGCCCAGGACCGATGGCTGGGCTCCCAGCTCAAAATCGGAATCACTTTCATCCTCCTCCTCCGCGCCGCTCGCCTCATCCGACAATCCAGACTTCCCCTTCCACAACTCATCCTCCAAGTCACTGTCGTCGGTGCATTCATCCTCTTCGTCCTCGAGCTTCTTTGGAATCCTTCCCTTCGGTGTCTTCACGAAGCTACTCTGCCGCACCAGCTCCTCATCTGTCTTCTCAGTTTCGTCCTCAGGGCCCCTCAAGACAGATCCATCGTTCTCATCTGGCTCCTGAATAGCCTCGAAGAACGAAATCCACAAATCAACGTAGCCCTCGCCGTTGGCACTGCTGTTGTTGGCAGCACGTAGCAGTTGCATGTTCCAATGGATGTACACCAGCTTCTCCAATGTTTCGGGCTTCAAGTTGTTCCTCCTTTTCGAATGCACGAAGTCCATGGACGACCAATTCCTCTCTGCCGGGGTTGCTGTACTCCAGATGCCCATCACCTTGATGGCAATGGCCTGCAAGTCGAGGACATCGCCACCATAAGTCGCCCACCACTCTGACGGTGTGAGCTTCTCACAATCGACCTTCGCATCGGGCTCCCACATCTTCTTGTCCTTTCTCTTGGGCCCGTTCGGCGTGGGCTTCTTGTGAAACTCGTGCAGGTCACCCAAAAACTCAAGGTGGTCTGGCCCTTTCCAAGGACCTCCAATCTGTCTCTGCAGGTAATGCATCGCACTCTGCACAATTGCACTGTCCCGATCATACAACCACCGTGGATTTCTCTTGCGTGGGTCCAGAAGAAACGCCAGTGCATGTACTGGCTGTCGCATCATCTTCACCCAATCTCTCACTTTGTCCATGACGCTCGCCCGCTGCTCCTCAGTGAGAACGACGTGAGCCAGTTTCCTCTCAATCATGTCGTCGTATTCGACAAGGTTTGTCGGCGATGTTCCATCTCGATCCATCCTCCTGAGAAGGCTGTACAAAGGTTCCATGACATCCACCACCTTCTTCAACTCCATCCACCATCCATCTCTCCTCATGGTGAAGTAAACCAGGTCTGCTTTCGACTTCAACTTCGTAGTGGACCAACGGATCCCCGTCCACCGCGCTGCATTTTTCCGATCCACCATATCTGACAACACTGCCTTCCTGTTCAGAAGCCTCTTCAACATCATGTAAACGGACCCGAACCGAACTTCCGTAGGACGAAGCAATGTTAGGGAATCGTCCATGGACATCATCAGGCTATTCGTGGAGTGGTGGTTCCGGATGAACTTCACAATCGTGTGGCCTCTTTTGACAGTGCTCTTCACCCAGTCTAGCTTGCTGATGTCTCGCAGCAAAAGGCTGCAACAATGCGCAACGCAAGGTACCCATGGAATCCGTGCAATGTCCTTGTCAGTGCGGCGCTCCACAAGCTAAGCAACCTTGTTGTTCACTTCGGCATTGTCAGTGCAGATCGCGTTGATGCGATGCACCCCTATCTCCCTCATGATCTGCTCCCACAACTTTGCCAACGCCTGCGCTGTTTTCTTTCTTGCCGTCATTGACACTGTGGCCACCAGAACTGCACTCTTCTCTCCCGCTGCCAAGAAGTTCATGACGGGGCGCTCTCGACAGTCGGATGACCCGTCCGTGATGAATGTACAGCCTGATTCATCCCAACAGGCTGTCAGAGGATGCACTTGCTTTTGAATTCGCAAGTATATGAAGTTGAGCATCACCGTCCTCATATGGTTGTACGAGGGCAGCTTGACCTTCGGTCGAGCACTCGCCACTTCCAAGTAAACTTCGTGAAGCTTCTGCGTTGTGTCGAATTTCAGGAAGTTAAAAGCAATGCCAACACGGAACATCGCCTCCACCCACGCAATATCTAGCTTCTTCTGTGCATCGTTGTCCAACCATCTCTTCATTGATGTTTGCTGCAGTGATGCCACCCTCATGTTCGACCCTGAACCCTCCGCTGGCCCCTCCTCTGCAGCGGCGACCGGCTCTGTTCGGGAAGCTGTTTTCGGTGGTGCCATCCCCGCAGTGGTTGGTGGTTGCGGCTCCTCGTACCCGCAAACGACAGGCTCGGAGTCCGCGTCCTGAGTCTCCATCGTAGTCGCCCCCTCTTCCGCAATGCCATGCAACTGTCTATAGTTCTTGAGGAGGTACTGCGTCTTTTTGTCACTCGACAACACCTTGGCACTGGCGACAACGAGCTTGTGCACCATCTCACCTGTCCTCAAGGGACACGGCTTCAACAACTTCATAAAGTATTCCACTGCCCTAGTGCTCGTGCCCCTCCAAATTTGCGTGCATAGCCGGCACTTCAGCCAGTACTCTCCTCGACCCTTCGGCATGGCTTCTTGACCCTGTATAACATACTTCCACACTTCCTGAGTACGCTGCAGTTGTTGTTGCCTTGTCTCATCCTGAGGAATGAACAAAGAGGGGTTTGACGCCGGCGTGGGATCCTTTGCAGTCACCCCAGATGCGGGAGCACTACAACTGGCACTGGCCTTTCCTTTGTCCGTCGATCCTGATGGAGGTCTCCTCCTTC